CCAAAATAGGGTACCCCTTATTTTCGGAAACTCCCATATCTCTATACCAGTTGTTTCCGCTACCTACCGGCTTAAGAGCTACACTCTGAAAATCATATGGAGTTAGAACCCACTATTTTGTAGCGTTTCGGCCTGTGGTGCATAGGACATATACTAGGTAATACAGCAAGTATCGTTTTGAGTCTGCGTAAACATGATCACAATTGTCTGGGGGCAAGTCCATAGTTGAGAAACTAGCCTTTTGGCGATGGAACTCCGCATGTAGATCTTCCTCGGGCTTCGGACACTGTGCCATGATGGGTACCATGCACCTCAAGCCACAGAATTGACAGTCTAAAGTGGGTCTGAGGGTTCAGTAACATTGCCTGGCAATCCCTATAAAACATGTTCAAGCCATGCGATTGCATGCCTCCCCAAACCCTATTCCATGCATAGAGAGGACATGTTTACAAGCACCGAACACCGAGACCTTCATATAGGGGCCTCAAAAAATACCTATACTTTCCTTGGGGGGTTCCTTACTATAGATATATACACAATAAGCCGCAAAAACCCTATTCTAATCATTGAGGCCCCTACATTATACCCCTTTTGAACCCTTATAGGAACCCTTATAGGAACCCTTATAGCAACCCTTCAAAGGAACCCTATTCGAGTTATGAAGGCCCCTCCACTAAGCTTTTTTCTTATGGAACCCCCCGAAAGCCTAAACCTTAAGCGCCCCAGGCCCCTCATCCTAAACCCGAATCCTAAACCCTGGACCGGTTTAGGGTTTAGGGTTTAGGGTTTAGGGTCGACTTTTTTGAGGACTTGTAAACAAGGAGTCATAACAAGGAGCCCTAAAAAGGCAAGGTTTTATAATCAGGGCAGTTAAGGGTAGACCCTAGCCGCTAAGTCCTAAACACTGAGTGTGTTCGACCCTAACACTAAACCCTAAACCCTAAACTCAAGCCCTAAACTCAAACCCTAAACCCGAATCCGAAACCCGAATCCTAAACCCGAATCCTAAACCGGAATCCTAAACCCTAAGCCGTAAACCCGAAGCCTAAACCCAAAGCCCGAATCCCTAAACACTATAAGTGTGTTCAGAGAGCCTGGTTCCAGAAACCATCCCACAGGGTGCCCACAAAGAGACGACGCTGTTTGAGACCCTCGGGAACCTGGAACAGGCGGGCGGCTTTTTTCAAGTTCCCAGGGTTTAGGGTTTAGGGCATTAGGGTATTACCTATAGTCTCCATTGTAGTTCCTTTTTTTGGTTTAACCAAAAAATATATATATATATATATGTATATATATATATTAAGGATTTTATAAGGTATCCTCAAAAAGGAACTACAATGGAGACTATAGGTAGGGTTCCGGGTTTAGGGTTTGAGGGCTTACCTGGACCCTAGAGAACCTACCCTTTTTAGGGTTCCTTATCATGGTTCCTTTACAAAAGTCCTTGAAAAGGTAGGTTCGAACTGCCAGAGAGCCCAATACAGTTTAATTAAGGAATAGAGCTTAACATATAAGGGGCTTCATATTCGGATTTAAGCTAGATTCCTTATTCAAGGGGTATTGGGCTCTCTGGGTTTGAGGATTTAGGGCATACGTACCCGTGGGGTTTTTGGGCTCTCAGCAAACCCTAGACCCCTAAAGCCCTGAACCCGTAAACCCTAAACCCCTAAACCCGTAAACCCTAAAACCGTAAACCCTAAACCCCTCAACCCTAAACCCTAAAACCATAAACCCTAAACCCCGAAACCCTGAACCCTAAACCCTAAACCCTAAACCCTAAACCCCTAAACCCTAAACCTTAAATACCTTATGGACCCCGACCCATGTTAGTCAGATTTTCGGGCTTCAGGCTTGCATCGATTCGAGTTCAGGGCTGCCAGGGTTTGAAGTTTTCGGGCTTTAGGGGTTTAGGGTTTGAAGTTTTGGGTTTTTTAGGGTTTAAGGTTTTAGGGGTTTAGGGGATTAGGGTTTAGGGTTTAGGGTTTTAGGGTTTGGGCTCGAGGTGTGCACGAGGTTTTCTGATTGGGGCTTGCGGTGTAATGGCGATGTCTGGTGTGGCCCCGAAGTTCCACTTGTTTTTAACACCAGGGGACTCTGTAAGGTCATTGGTCCTTGCGATTCTGCTGCGGGTGGACGTGATTCCAGATCTGCTCCCAGCATTGCTGGCAATTTACGAGCAGGAGAATGTGGAACGGAGGGGGCTGGCAATGCAGATACTGCAATCCTGGGTGGCTGGCTTGATTGATCGGAGACCGGATGTTGCAGCTACTTACTTTGCCAAATCAACAATCGTGTTGAGGTTTGAGTTTGGTCGCAAGATTAAGAAGATTCTTTTGCTGGTGATTTGATTTGGCTTTCTGCTTTATCTGAGATCGATCCCAATTCCGAAGGTGCACATGGGAGCATCCGAAGGCTAAGAGGGTTAGGGCTATCAGGATGAGGCCAAATCCCTATTGTAGTTATAAGGCCCCTTCATTACTATAGGGGCCTCAAAAATTACCTATACTATTAAGGGTTCCTTATTATGAATATAGCAATTACCTGTACTATTAAGGGTTCCTTATGATAAATATATCATAATATAGGCCCCTTCATTAGGTTTGCAGGTGGCGTTTAAGGGCTTTGGATCGCCTCCTCCGTGCAAAGGCGACCAAGTCGGCTGTGCAGCTCTGCCTCTACGAGGACGCGGAAGTCCAAGTTGGGATGCAGAGTTTGGGTTGGAGTTGACGGTTTTAGGGTTTAGGGGTTCAGGGTTCAGGGGCTTAGGGTTCAGGATTTAGGCATTTAGGGTTTAGTAAATTTAGGGGTTAGGGTTTAGGGGTTCAGGGTTTAGGGTTTAGAGTCTGGACGCCCCCCAAATACCCTTGAACAAAGGCTTTGTGCCCTAAAGAAGGGGGCATCTACGCTAGATTGCAGGGTAGTCGGCTTGGTCCGCAGGTCCTATAGTTGCCTTTTTTCCCGGTTTTGGGCCTTTGTTGTTCTGGTTCAGGGTTTGGGGTTTACGGTTTAGGGTTTAGACGAATCTCCTAACAAAAACTAGTACTAGTGTTGCCTTAACTCTTTGAATGAGTGGAGGTTGGGGTTTCAGCTGATGTAGCCAGGGTTTGCATGAACCCTACACTTACACCCAACATGAATCCCAATAGACCTAAATCTTAAAGCAAATCCCAAAATGTCGCAGGACGAAATGTACTTCGCCCGAAAAGGCTCGTTGGTACAAACAACCGCGCTGGGTGATAGTCATTGAAATCATGGAGGTTTGGCTTCACAAGATAGTTGAACCCTAAACCCTAAATCCCTAAAACCCTAAACCCTAAACTCCTAAACCCATTGGCTTCACAAGATAGTTGAAGCCAGGCATGATACCTCTGAGGCCCTGATAGGCTTAAACCCTAAACCCTGAAACCGTCGAGCCCGAAAGCCTCTCTACCTATAGTCTCCATTGGAGTTCATTTTTTTGGTTCAACCACATATATATATATATATAAATACATATTAAGGAAATTATAAGGTATCCCCAAAAAGGGAGCTACAATGGAGACTATAGGTAACCCTTAAGAGCCTTGCAGTGTAGGGGTTTAATGCTCAGCCCTTGACACCATCGCCGTGGTATGCTACGAGCATCCACTTCTGTCTCCGAGAAGTCCCTACACCCTGAGCCCCAAAGCTAGAAACCCAGAGAGCCGAATATACCTCTTAAAGCAGGAATATAGCTGAAACCTTAATATGAAGCCCCTTATATGTGAAGATCTATTCCTTGAGTAAGCTGTATATATAGCATGAAGCCCCTTATACTTCAAGCTCTATTCCTTAAGTCAGCTGTATTGGGCTCTCTGGAAAGCTCTGAAGCTCTGAGCCGCAAGCCCTAATATAGGGACTTCAATAATTACCTGTACTATTTGGGGGGCTTCCTTATTATAAGAATAGTATAAAGGGCCCCAAAACCTTATTCTATTTATTAAGGCCCCTACATTACACCCTGAAGCCTGAAATCCAAATGGGTAGTTGTCAAAACTATGGTCCCTTTTGGGGGTACCCTAAACAATAGGTGCCG